TTGAGACAGATGATGTGTAATATTATGATGTGATCGTGATATGATTGTGATTGATGACATGTGCATATTCATTATTCATCCCATGTGTGAACTATCTGTTGCATGAGTTCTGAGACACTGATATGAGGATGGATGGATATGAGACACAGTTGAGACTAGCTCCGGCTAGAGATATATGAGATGGACTAGCTCCGGCTAGCGATTTGGATGCCGATGGGATCTGGTTCCGGCGGTGATACATGGTCCATGTGTGGCCCCCATGGGTTCTGATTTGAGTATTCAGCGCGGTCTGAATTACGTCAACAGATGTGTATCTTAGGACAGACATGCATCACGACTACATGACATCATTATTGCATTTGCATCGCATTTGACTTCATCTTTGTTTGTGGTGTGTGGATTTTACCTACTTGCTCCTCTTCATGTGATATATGATCTATTTGCTCTTCTATGAGGATATGAGGTTGATGTTGAGATACTGTTGGATATATCTGTTGATTATGAATTGTGTAGTATAGGTTGTTGGTTCGCTGTTAGAATGAAGTTTCGGTGGTTCGGTTGGGATTGAAAGGAGTTGTTTGTAGCTGCTAGTTTAGCTTAGTTTAGTGTTACTTGCGAGTACCTGTTGCTTTTGGTACTCACCCTTGCTTCTACACAGTTGTGTAGGTTGACAGCTCTATCAGATCCGGCTTATTACTCATCTTCAGATTAGAGCTTCCAGACTTACTTGAGAGGTAGCGGTTCATTCCAGACGTGCCCTCAAGTTATCTATATTTACTGTTCTGTTCTATTCTAGAACTTTACTATGAGACTTGTATATTTTATTCAGATTCTGTATTAGAGGTTTGTACATGTGACAACCAATTCTGGGGTTATGTTGAGTTTATTTAAAGACTTCCGCTTATCTTTCTATCTTATTCTTGTTTATAAATTCTGTATCGTCGGGTTTTTGGGTGTTAGGCTGACGTGTCCGGTGGGGTTTGGGCACTTGCCATCACATCTGGTTTTGGGGTGTGACATTAATGCAAATCTATATTTATATTTGGGTAGGTATTTCAGTTGAAATTAAAGTATTATATATGTCACTAATGTATTATCAAGTTAACAAGATCTTCTAACTTCAAATTATATTATTTTAAATATTCTGAGTTCTTTACTCATAGCAAATGTGAAATATATGAAGCGTTTAAAATTTATGATTTACAAAATAAATTTTATATTTACTAATATAGAATAGACATTTACATTTTGTCCCTACACCAAATTAAAATCTAATAAATATAAAAAAAAAATTGAAAATTAATTAAAAGTGGAAAAACTTGCCCGCACCGGGTGTACACACCAAACTAATGCAATTTGCATTATTACGTGATTTTATGAAGTAAAACACATGTTAATTAAGGCATGCATGTATTGGTTTGGTGTATACACCCGGTGCGGGTCAGTTTTATTATGTAAGTTTAAAATTTATTAGAAATTCAACTATTGCACAATAATTCTTTAGTTATGACATTATAAATTGTCTTAGTTATTACTAATTATTGCAATCGTTATTCACACTCTTTTATAGTCTTAGTTATAATATTATGAATTCCATAGTTATAACATTATTTATTACTATCTTTCATCTTTCCTTATATTAACTTTTGACCAATAATTTTTCATATTATTATACCGCTCATATATATGTGATAACACGGTGTTGTTATTTTTCCTTTGACGAATCATGCTTAGTTGAATAAATTAAAAATCATTTACAAGTATATGAACTTATCTTTGTTGGGTGCAAGATGAACAATTGATTATATATATGATTTCACAGATACAATATATTCTTTTAATTTTTATTTTTATTTTTATTTTTCCAGTAAAAAAAAAAGAAACCTTTCTCAGTTATAGTAATTGTTCTCTTCTCATGTTCATATGACATCTAATAGTTTAATGTGGAATACACATGAAAAGCACATCTGGTAAGATGACAAGAGAAATACACAACAAATATAATTTATAAGGTAATATTAGTGAGATATGACAAATTACATGATTGAGCCTCATCAAATTGAAACAAATACATACATTGTTGCATTTAACTAATAAATTTTTTCATTGACCATCTTCATAGGTTCGTGTGAATAAGAGATATATATGACGATCCACATTATATATATATATATATATATATATATTATTATTATTGTTATTATTATTATTTATTATTATAAGTGAAAAATTGAATTACTATTTTACCCCTACACTAAATGAAAATGTTATAAAATATTTAATTAAATTCATTTAATATAATTAATTAAACATTTTTATCCTGAAATAAAGAAAATACTCCTTTAATAATTTGTGCAAAAAAATGTAATACACGTTTAAATAAATGCTAAGTATCATATTAAGTACAATACAATGAATCAACCATAATTATATGCTTCTCCACATATCAATTACTAATTTAAAGAAGTTATTAGAAGTCATTTATATATGCAGCGTCTTAACAATTTCAGAATTCACTCTTCATATTCTTATATGTGTATTAGTACATTATCTTTTACAATCCAGTAACTATATATATTGTATAATATAGTCATAAGCTTCAACTTTGAACAATAACTACAAATTTGAATTTAATAGTTTTGGAAATTCAACTATTTTTAAATAATAAAATATGAAGTGTCCTTTCATTTCTTCATAGCACTTATAAAGAAATCTAATGATATTTAATGGTCTTTTTCTAACTTAACTTTTGAGTTTCTACATTTCTTGGCTATAAATATCATTGCGTGCTTCACTGATTTTTCGATATGTAAATTGTGTCATGATATATATTGTCTTAGTTTTGATGATAGCTACTTCTCTTCACTCCTTGTATCTTAATTTGATTGATAATTCTATTGCAGATTAACTAAGATCTGCTTAGATTTCTTTTCTATGTGTTCAAGTGGAATTTTTT